TGTGTGTGTGTGTGTGTGTGTGTGTGTGTGTGTGTGTGTGTGTGTGTGTGAAGTTCAGGCTGGAGTCAGAACCACAACCACCAACTCATAGCTGTAATGGGCAGGATAACTGAACTGAAACCTCACGATCTGTACGTCTAGTCCTATACACCGTGGTGGGTGATCAAGTACACTCTACTTACTGCTAAGTTCCCAGCTTTCCAAAAGCAGGAGAGGCTCTAAGTACCTGAGATTAGCGGCAGAGCTGCTCCTATGTTTGTTTCTAGGCTCTCCCTCTGGACACCCCCACAAGCTGTTCCTCCCATGAGAACATCACCCTTGACATGGCATTGCACAGAATTCTACTACGGAACGAACCCTAAGCAGTTCATGTGTGTCACCCCCACTTGCTGCACAGCCACTGGTAAAAACTATGTGAGGTCTTTTCTGCTTTGCTTGGCTTTGGTTTTGTTTTTGTTTTACTGAGACAGGGTTTCTCTGTGTAGCCCTGGCTGTCCTGGAACTCTGTAGAACAGGGTGGCATCAAATTCAGAGATCAGACTGCCTCTGCCTCCCAAAGGCTGGGATTAAAGGTGTATGCCACCTCGTGGCTGGTTCGTAAGATCTTGATGACCCGATAGTGATGTCTTTAGGTCTTACCTTCCTGTCTTAATTTAAGATATTTAAAGATATTATTTATATTTAAGATAGTAAACATATGATGTATAATGATATTTAATATCTTAGAAATATATATCATCATATATATCATAAATATATATATATATCATCTATTTAAGATATTAATTATATTTAAGTAGCAGGCCTGCCTTGTCTCAGGCTTGAGATTCTGAGATGTGTCCTCAGGTCCCACACTCCCAAAACAAAGCCAGGCCGTTCTCATTGCAGACCCTGTCCCCATGACTCTGAGGAAACAGTCAGCTTGCTGTGTCTGGTGTTTTGTTTTGTGTTTGTCTGCTGTACATGTCTGTCTCTTTTGAAAGTTTTAGCAGAACATCTTTCTTGTATCAGGCATAACAACTGGCACTTTTTAGGGACTGAATATCTTCTTTGCATTTGGCTTTAGTTTGTATAAAGCAAATTATATTATATATGTATGTAACTTTAAAAACACAAAATGCAGGCTGTTGAGATTGATAAGGATAATAGGACACAAATACAAAGAAGAGAACAAATGTGAACTTTGTGTATATATGTGTGCGTGTGTGCTTGTGTGTTTGTGTGTGTGTGTATGAGTGCATGCATGTGTGTCTGCCTTAATGGATTTTTTTTTTATATTTCTGGTGGTGCAGCTGGCCTGTTGGTAAGTTCTCTTGCTTTGTCTGGTTGAGATTTTCACCTTTGCCTCCAGTTAGTTCCTAATGGGGTTTGCTTATGAAATGAAGACCAAGTAGGTGACAGTTTATGTTCAGAAAGCACTTGGCTACACCTCCCGCCGTGGGCCACTGCTTTCACACGCCGAACCTTTGTGAAGAATTCCTTTTATGAGCAAAAAGGCAAATGAAGAAGCTACCTAAGAGCTTTTAAGGATCTCATAGTCTGTCATTAGTCACTGCCTTTTACCCGAGGCAGAGCCTATGGCTTGCTCACTCTTTGCAAAACTGCTGCCATTTGAGGTCAAAGAGTCAGTCACTGTACCATACATGCACTGAGTGACATGCTGGTCTAGCGGGATAGGAAGCCTAGAACGCTTCCCACAGTAAGCCATCCCATCAGTGAGAAGAAGAAAAGAAAATGTGCCTGCATTTTCTACTCAGGGCCCATCTTACAATTGCTAAGGAACACCCAAACACAGATAGAAGTTGAGGGTTAACAAAGGAACTTTGCCTCCAAAACAAGGCATGAACCCTCACCTCGGCTGCTCTGTACAAACTGAAAACTCTCCCTCTCATTGGCACTTTGTCATTACTCTTTATTATCCAGAGAGGGGTCTGTTTCCTTGTTAATTAAAAATTGTCAGAAGCAATATTCTCATTTCCTCCAAAAGAAATAAGCGCAGGCAAAGGTCAGAGGGAGGCTTTTCACAGGAGCTGCCCGTAGAGGAGCAAAGTGCAAGGCCAACAGCCTCGGACCAGAGTGTCAGCCCTGAGATTCTGAGATGTGGCCTTGGCCCCAAATCCCAGAAGCAAAGCCAGGCTGTTCCCATGGCAGACCCCTTCCCCCTGGCTCTGAGGAAATATTCAGCCCGCTGTGTCTTTGTTGTTTTTGTTTGGTTGTTTGTACATCCTTGATTCTTTCTAATTCTTAACTTTGAGGCATGTTCATTGTCAAGTTAAGTAGGATGGTCTTGAACTTAGGTGATTCTCCTGACTCCGTTTCTTGTGTTGCTGGGATTACAGGAGCGCACCTTCTGCTGACACGTGCAATTGAATTCTTTGTTTGATATTGGTAAACGGAAGCATAGGTGGGAATTCTTCTCATGGCCAGTGTCAAACTGTCTTCCATTGACCTTGTTTGTGGATTCAGGCCACTGATGAAGGAAGAGGCATTTCGAATCTTTCCTATATCAGTTTCTCTCATTTCATTACTACTATCTGGTTCCTTTTCCTTCTCTGACCATCACCTCTAACTCTTGCCTTGTACATAGTTTTATACAAGAACATCATGACCTTTGTCAGTCACTCTTTCCAGGCTACTGTGCTCATGTGTCTAAAATGCAAAGAGACCTTTGTGGCTCTCTTGCCTTAAAACACACACATAAGCATGATCAAGAGGCATACCCCTGTATCTCCTTTCTTTGTGAGTTAGTTCACTGATTAATATTCAATAGGTGAGCAAAATTCTAAAAGCATTCAGTCATGGATAGAGGAATATCAGGGATGAGAAAAGACAAGATAGGATGGAGGCATCTTACGTCCAATAGATTTGATGCTGATACAAGATGCTAAAGGAGAAAAAATGCTAAGAATAACATTTTCAGAAAAGCAGCAAGTGCCTTTTTAAAAAAGTGCTTATTTCAAGACAGGTTTTATTATTTTTAGTTTTTTATTTTAATTTTTATTAATTACAGTTTATTCACTTTGTATCCCCCCGTAGCTCCCTTCCTCCTCCCCTCCCAACCTCACCCTCACTCCCCTTTCTCCACCCATATGTGTAATTACAATTTTCCAGCAGACACTTTCAAAAAGTTAAAAAAAAGATTAGTTTTCGTAATATATTTCACTTGACATGCCTCAGCTATGGCTATTCTAACATATAATAAATGTAAGAAAATTTCTTTATACATGACATTTTTATCCACTAACTTCAGCTATGATATGTATTGTACACTAACACACATCTTGATCCAGACTCAAATTTTTCTTTTGAAACACTTGATCATCATTTAATGTTTACGAAACTTAAAGTAAAAAATAAAAATAAAAAACAAAAAACCAAACACTTATATTGACATATTCAAGTTGTTCAGCACATATTTAAAACTTTTTCCAATCGCCAAATTGAGGATACTTACTTTTCTTTCAATTGAAATTCAGTAAAGTTTAAAATTGAGTTTTACTGGCGTATTAGTCACTTGGCACGGGTAGAAGAACTTCGTGCAAGTGCAGGAACCTGTATCGGATGGGCTTTCTCCACAAAATGTCTTAACCATAGTGTTAGGAAACTATGCAGTGAGGTGATCATTTGAAAACGTGTTTAAGTTAGGGATCAACATATGTTTCCAAGTAAAACAATTTAGAATACTATCAAAATTATTCCTGTATTAAGATTACTTATTTTATTTGAGCTTCAATCTAGATCTTGTTCTTTGGGGAAGCAGATGAATCTGTGAGGCAGCCTAAATGTTCTGGCATGACGCGGGGAGCTTGAAAACCAGGGTTACTTTACAAAAGCCATCTCCGATTAGTCACTGTGTCAAAGAAGAAAACAGGTTTTGATAACTCTTGACCACATTACTTCTAATCATTCACATAAAGCCGCACTCTTTAGATCTGGATAAATTTAGAACTTATAGCATATTTCAGAAATGGATCCGGCTCTGTTTTTAAGGGATCTGTAAAAATCAATACTATATGGTTAGTTAGGAAATGGGAAGAATGTGGCTTCATTTTTTAATTTAATTAATTCTGTATTCTAGATTCCTAAACAATAAGCTGAATGCATTTTAAATATATATATTAAATATTTGAAATTACAAATTTAGGCTACTTTAGCCAGCACTCAGAGACAGGGCCAGGCAGATCTCTATGAGTTCAAGACCAGCCTTGTCTAGATAGTGAGTTCCAGGACTACCAGAGCTGTGTAGAGAGACACTGTCTCAAAAAAAAAAAAATCTAGGGCACTTTAAAATGCCATTACTTATTTTGTTATAATTCTTGAGACAACACTATCGTAACAAAAAAGCAGTTAAGACTAAGACTCTCTAAGATAGGCGTTCTGTTCTCAAGTTAAATGAACCAAACACATGATTAACACAGTATTAATAAAAGTATTAAACACAGTATTAATAAAATAAATAGAGGGTTTAAGTGTGTCCAAGGTCTCCTCCACAATGAGGTAAATACATATGGAATAATAGGGGGAAGTTCAATGCATTAGCATTTAACAGTCAAAACAGGAACGTTTAAAATACTCTGTTCATGGTTAAAAATAATTTGTACTCCAAGTCCAGTGATCATTGCCAGGGAGAACCAAAGTTGAAATTTTTTTCTATTAAAAACATGACTCAGAGGAAAAAATACGGGGGCTGGTAATGAAGGAAATGATCTGGGGTCATCCCTATTGGTCACTCCTACAGTCACATGGTTGCGACATCTTTAAAAGGGAGTTCTCTGGACTCAGGAGGTTCATAGCACCTTCCCCCATCCTGCAGCCTCTTTCTCACCTGGAAGAGAAATCTCAGAAGGTTTACAAAAATGTGTGATGCCTTTGTGGGAACCTGGAAACTCATCTCCAGTGAAAACTTCGATGATTATATGAAAGAAGTGGGTAAGTGCTGTGGGTGATGGGGTCTTCCCCACTGGGAAGAGGGCTTTCAGCCTGGGGAGAGCATCTGAGATGAAATGATGTCTCCCTTATGGAGGGTGTGGAAGCCACAAGAAAAAGCATGAATAAGGGGCTTTCTAAATCAGACCTTCAACTTCATGCTATCTACAGGTGAACCAGCAGGGAAGTCTAAACGAAAATCTCCTGTGGCTTATAGAATGCAAGACGTTGCCTCCATTACCAGACTTGTGTTTCTGTGGCTCACTTGGATGTTTTTTAACATTTCCTCTTACATGGAAATTTTGCAGTAACTTAGGGAGAAAAAATGTACCTTTTTTTTTTTTTTTTTGGTAGCATGGAGTAATTTTTGTTTAAAATTGAAGTTGTGATACTGCCCATCTTAGAAAAAAAAAGTCATGTTGGAAAATATATTTTAGCAAATGCTTTTCTATCTCAATGTTAAGGCATGAGAATGTGTGAGTATTTTATAGAAGACAAAAGCTTAACCACGGGAGACATTTTTCTTCAAGGGATTAAACATTCACTGGTTTTGAATGATCTGGGATGCCATAGATTTAGCAAGTGATTCAAAAGGACTGTGCCTTTCTGATAGCTGAGGCTAGAAGTGGTTTAGGTTTGGTCAACACTACCCGATGCTACTGTGTGTGTGGTCACCAGGCAATGCTGGCATTGATTCGGTGGCCATCAACGAAGCGATGCGCTTTATCAGGAAGCTTCTGTGTGGAGTCCCTTCTCTCCCTGACCTTCAGAAGGTCAGCTCCTATAGTGCAGAGTGTCTTCTTTAGGAAAGAATCCCCTAAATCACCAAAGGCTTAACCTTCCCCTCCGTTACATAGCAGGAACTTTTGATTATCTGTCAATATTGATCTCTTGTTTGCAGATAAGAATATCAGGAATTTCAGCATGACTGACCTCTTAGCACATCGGCTAGTTACCATTCAGTATGTTGTATGCTAGCTACTATCCAGAAACAGCAGGGTTTGGGCCACATTTAGCTATTGACTTTTGGAAACATTTTATACCAGTATTATTCACACCTAAATTATAACAACACTACTTAAATTGTGAAAGATTTATAATTAAAGGCCTAACAGTATTTCCTGAACGGAATTGGCAGCTGTAATTGACTGGGTTGGCAGGTATTGTCTTCTGCAGTCAAAGAAAAGCAGAAAGAAACAAGTGAAGCTGTAGTCTGGCCCAGGCTCAGTCTCTCTCAGTTCGTTTTCCATGTTGCATTCCTTCCCTGTATTGACTGATTGTACCGAATGTTGGGTTCTGTGGCAGAGTGAGTATTCAAGGCAGAAATACTTCATTTTCTTATTGTGGCTACTTTCTAGCCAGAGAACTAAGTCACAGCCTTTGCACCACTTATCTTGTGCTGTGTTTCTCCTCTCAGTTCATCCTTAGTTCTAACCTTTGGTCACCTTTAGTCAAAGAGATAGCCTTTATTTAAGCATTTGTGTTGGGAGAGTCAGCAGTCCTGTTAGTGCGAATGCTGTATAATGTCTGCAGACAGAGCACCTAAGGTGTGAGTGGCTTGGCCTCCACAAGTGAGCATTTCCTTCATTTAAACAAACCAGACCTTCAAAACAATGAAATTCAGATTTCTTGAGTTCAAAAGGTATTTGCTGAGTCCCCTTTAATTTTCCTTACACATTACTTAGAATGATATCGCCATTCTAAAATGACATGATATGTAGGAAATGATTTTCCCTCTAGAGAAATTAATCAAATATCTTTATTTCATGAGGGAGTAATATGGGAAGGAAGCCTAGAACATTAAACTTGGCAACAAATGCTGTGAAATGTGATTTCTGTACACTCAAAATAGATGATCTTTTAACCCGATAATTCTGTATCAGGCCTGGTCTCTGACTTAGATTTTTTAGAATATAACTTTTAGTATTTAAGAAATAACACAACAGTCAAATTGTCTCAAACATAAACACAAATAGAGATAGTATACATATACTTACTACTACTATATTATAATAGATGATACTGACATATATAAAGCACATAGACATCATGGCATGAAGATTTCATCTCTATAAGTTCTTGTGAATTAAGGATTCCCCTGAGGGGTTGTATTTAGAAGCAGAGAAGAGGCCAAGCTAACAGTCAATCCGGTGGTTGTCTTCTGAGCATTATTCTCAGGGATTAGCCCAACATGTTTAGCTGCAAAGCTTGTCTCAAAGGAGCCTCAGGAAACCTGCCATCTTCTTCACGCATACAAAAGTGTAAGCATGCTGTGCTTTCTCTCCCTAACAACAGGGGTGGGCTTTGCCACCAGGAAAGTGGCTGGTATGGCCAAGCCCAACATGATCATCAGTGTCAATGGAGATATCATCACCATCCGGTCAGAGAGTACTTTTAAAAACACAGAGATTTCCTTCAGCCTGGGCAAGGAATTTGAAGAAACCACTGCAGATGACAGGAAAGTAAAGGTGAGAAACAACGGCTTCTAAGTCCACAGCCTGCAGGACGTGACCTCAGGACAATGGGAAGAAAAGCTTCCCTTTGTTGACTGAAGGCCTCTGAGCTCCCATCCCTAAACAATCGCCATCACTAGGCAGATGATGCCTTTCCCCTGGTTACTTAGGTTGCCCTGATATTAAGAATGATTAGCATATTTTATGTGTCCTAAAATAGTGTATGTGGAGTAATAAAATGTTAAGGAAGGCTTTCTAAGGAGAGGCTAAAATAATAAATATTACCGTACTATCACAATCTTAACATATGTTTTATCATCTAGTTTTTTTCCCAGTATATTCTTTTCTTCAAAATGTGATTTTATTCTCTGTTTCTATTCATAATATATATACATATATATATATATGAGTCCTACATTATTTTTTTTCAAGACATGTTTCTTCTTTTTTGTTGTTGGACTATATTCTTGGCATTTAGAGTTACTAAGGCCCTCAGAAAAGTCCTTTGAACCAGGGTTCCATAATTTCAATCTTATTGTCATGTGCAAATTGCAATCTCTTTTCACTGTGGCCACAGAGCATCATAACCCTGGATGGCGGGGCCCTCGTACAGGTGCAGAAGTGGGACGGAAAGTCAACCACCATAAAGAGAAAGCGAGATGGTGACAAGCTGGTGGTGGTGAGTATTTCCTGCGTACGTAGCTCTAGACCCCACCTTCAGGACCTCAGGACCACCACTCCACTTTAGAAAACTCGCCGGCTTGTGTAGACCAAGGGATTTATTTGTAGCACTTGTTTATTTGGAGCTAACTGAGGGTTGAATCTGGGTTTTCACACTTGCCCTTCTGAGCCCCATCCTCTCATGTGGTCAGGCTCCACCCATGCACGTTTCCCCTTAAGGAAGTAGTCCCTGCTTCCTCTCAGGCATCACAAGATGCCTCGTGCAACACCCTCATCACAGTGCAGTCTGTGGTTCTGCTCATGGTACTCACTCCCTGACAGGAAGGCCTGCACCTGCTTGGTCTTTGCATCACCCTAACCTGGATGTGCAACACAAGCACAGGACTGTAGAACACACGGTTTTGGTTGAATAGCACTTCTCTTCCGACACTGAGAGACACCAAAATTAAATGCAAGCTGTTGTTTCCTTTATTTGACCACGAACATTTTGTGCCTGTGTCCAGGAATGTGTCATGAAAGGCGTGACTGCTACAAGAGTTTACGAAAGGGCATGAGCCAGGAGACGTGGCCCTGGACTGAAATGCGCACCAAACTCCTCAACAGTCAGTTGGATGTACCGCTTTTCTTTTTTTTTTTTTTTAAATATGATCTTCCACTAATTAGCAAGCAACTAATTTTTTTTTCTAAAGCTAGATTTTATTGAATGTGGTTGTGTTGGTTAAATAAAACCTTTTTAGACTTAGAAAGTGGCATAATGATATTTTTATTGGGTGTCTAATTTTATACTCATAAAGGAGTGAAAAGAATAGAAAAAACTTCATTATTATTATTTTGGTACTGATATAAGTAAATAAAGTCTTTCATAATAATGCATGGCAGAAAAGTCAATGTCCATGAACTTTCCTAGATAAGGGACAGTACAGAGGAACCGAGACTGAATAGTAAGCCCTGCTTTCGCGTGCCTACAGATCTAGCACAATTGTCCACATCCATGTGATTCAAGTATACACTGTCATATCTGCCCTGTCCTGGGGCACTGGGACTCAATAGTGCATACAATGCTGCAGGAAAGAGCTCTAGTCTCTGATGTATGTGTGTGTGTGTGTGCGTGCGTGCATGTGTTCGTGTGTGTTTGTTCTCTGTGTGTGTTTATGTGTGTGTGTGTGTGTGTGTGTGTGTGTGTTACTAAATACTCCAGACTAGTTTTGAACTACAATTCTTTTGCTTCAGTCTCGTGTGTTGTTGCTGGCGTTTAAGTACATACCACCATGCTCAGCTAGTCTGAACAAGTGTTTTAATAACTATTGTAAAAAAAAAAAAACCATGAAACTCTGAGACTGTTCGCTTTATAAAGAAATGGTTTACTTGGCTGTCAGTTTTGCACTTTTGGAAGCTGAAAGCTCAAGACAGTGCAGTGCAGAGATTCAGCACTGACCTCATGGTAGGTGTTATCATGGGAACATAATAGGGAGAGAGGCATCTCCTTGACAAGGAGCCATTCTTGTCATTTATAACAACATTCTGTGGGATCTAACAGGTTCCACTAATCTCATCAGAGAAGATTCCTGCCTGAAACCTCATCCCACTCACCTGACCTAATGACCTTTTCTGTAAACCTCATCCCTTAATGCTCCAGCACCTTAATGCACCATGCTGGGGGATGAATCTTCAGAGAACAAACCACATCCAAGCCTGTTGGGTGATCTTTTTGTACGCTGTGTAAAGAAGGTCTTTATATCATTCAAATGCTGATTTCTGTAGCAGCAGAAATCAGACTTTGGTTTTATTATTCTAATTGCTCAGAACCTGCATCATATTTTGTAAACATATACTTTCTTCACCTCTCCGATTGGTTTAAGAAAGAGCTGAATGGCCTATAGCAAAGACAGGACAGGAAGGCAGAAGTTCTGGGAAGAGAAAGGAACTCTGGGAAGGAATCTGAGGTGGGAAGGGTGGCCAGTTAGATAAGAAGGAGACGAAAGAAAACAGGAAACAAGCTAGAAACCCGCCACGGAGGGCCTCTGAAAGGCTCTGCCCTGCAGACTATCAAAGCAGATGCTGAAACTTATGGCCAACTGTTGGGCAATGTGCATGGAATCTTATGTAAGAAGTGGGAAATAGTAAGATCTAGAGAGGACAGGAACTCCACAAGGAGAGCAACAGAACCAGAAATTTGAACACAGGGGTCTTCCCAGAGACTTATGCTCCAACCAAGTACCATGCATAGAGATAACCTAGAACCCCTGCACAGATGTAGCCCATGGCAGTTTAGTGTCCAAGTGGGTTCCATAGTAATGGGAAGAGGGACTGCCTCTGACATAATCTGATAGGCCTGCTCTTTGATCACCTCCCCCTGAGGGGGAAGCAGCCTTACCAGGCCACAGAAGATGACAATGCAGCCACTACTGATGAGATTTGATAGACTAAGATCAGAAAGAAGGAGAGGAGGACCTCCCCAATCAGTGGACTTGGGGAGGGGCATGCATGAAGAAAGGGAAGGGAGGGTGGGGTTGGGAGGGGAGGAGGGAGAGGCTTATGGGGGGATACAAAGTGAATAAAGTGTAATTAATAAAAATTAAAAAATTTGTTCACTTAAAACTATTATAAAATTCATTCTTGAAGAAAAAAAAAAGGAGACAAAAGCATGTGTACTGAGGAGAGGTAACCAGCCACATGGCAGAATGCAGGCTAATGGCTAATGGAAAGCCATTAATTTAACTTAAGAACTAGCTGGGGAACAAGCCTAAGCTAAGGCCAAGTTTTCATAATTAATAACAGGTCTCACAGGTCTCAGTGTCATTATTTGAGAGCTGGCGGTCAGAAGAGAGCCCCTTCATACAAACCATAGCGGCATGCTGGACCAGGAAGCCACACAGAAGCCATGCCTGTCATTCCACAGGGCTCATGCTGGGCTAGTATGACAGGCTTGTTCAGTAGTTGCCAAACATTTATGTTTATTATCAGTAGCACTCTTTACTCAAAACCTCCATGGAATCCTTATATCTAACACACACGTGCACACACACACACAGGCATGATAACAGTGAGGGTTGAAATGTATGCGCACACACATATAATAACAGTGAAACGTAAAACTCGTGTCCGTAAAAATATAAAACAGCCACGTACACACACACAAAATAGTCAGGTTTCCTGGTCAGCACAGGTGCATAGATATGTGCATGTACTTGTGTGTTTTGCTTGCATTTCTTGTGGGAGGAATGAAGTGCTTCTACAATGAGGCTTTGCACATGACTTCTAAATCACATTTACATGGTTTAGCGGGCAGCCTCGCTTTCCAGCCTTTTCCAGTTGATCTAACTTGGAGTGATCTCTTCCTGGGAGATGTGTCTGAGAGGCAAAAGTGTTCTTGGAACCCAGGCTTGCTTTAAGCTTCCAACAGTGAGAGGACGCTTGTAGACGGTCCAGCAGGGGATCCGGAGCTGGACATCATGAAACTGACAGCTGAATGTCACTGCAGATCTTGATAGACACACTTCAAAACTTTGATACATTTATGTGTAGAGCTGAATAGGAATCTAACCCAAAGTAAAAGAGGCAAGTGAAAGTGAAGGCAGAGATGCCATGCCTCAGGCACAGTAACTCACTCACTGGGAAGAGTCAGAGATTCTGTGCCTTTTAGCAAAAGCAGTTTCTAAGATCTTGCTGCAGTCTGATTACTATAGTTAGCACAATACGATATGTAAATATCCAATTTTCAACATCATCATCAACAACAAAAAATTCCAGGACATGCAAAAAGTGTTCAAGAGAGGAACTAGAGATCTGGGAGCTCGGAATATATAACAGCACACTGCTACTGGATACGATGGCAATCCCTCAAAAAATATAGCACAGAACTACTGTGTGAATCAGCAAAGTAAAAGCTGATTCTACAACATTCAGAATAGGTCAATAACATGAGCCAAACGACAAATGTCCATCAGCAAGTGAATGGATGAATAACGCACACACACACACACACACATATACCATAAGGCTCTCAAATGCCTATGCAAGCACAGGAACATACACACAGTGAAATTACTGTCGTCAGTCACAAAAGCGAAGGAATTTTTTTGTTCTTAAAATAATAATAAATCTTTTCATGGAAGAAAACTTTAAACGTTCCTTTGATCGTGTTTTATTCCTCCCTCAACTCCTCCCAGATCCCCACCTATATTTATGTTCCATCTCTCCCTCTTTTTTTTAAACAACAAAAGCAAACAAGAAACAAAACCAAAGAAACCTGGAAACACAAAATCAAAAATCAAAACAAATAAGCAAAATACCAATAAGACCAAAAAAAAAAATGCCAACACATGACAAAATAAAACAAGAAGTCCACAGAAACACTGTTGAGTTCATTTTGTGTTGGCCACTGCGCCGAAGTGTGGTTCTTACACCCGGTGAGACTCCACTGGAGAAAACAGATTTTCTTTCTGCCAGTAGGTATCAGCTGCAAATAGCCTTTTAGTTAGGGGTGGGACCTCAGCTCCGCTTTCCCTCCTCAGTGCCAGGGTCTAAACCTGTGCAGGTCGTGTTCATGCTGACGCAGTCTCTGTGAGGTTGTCTGCGCATTGGTTCCTTGGTGTCTGGAAGACACTGTTTCTTGGTGTCACCCATCACCTCCGGCTCTTGAAATCTTTCTGCCTCCTCTTCTGCACAGATTCCCGAGGTGTGAGAGGAGGGGGGTTGGCAAAGATACCCCTTTTAAGATGGGGTGCTCCCAAGTCTCTCATCCTCTGCACAGTGTCCAGTTGTGGGTCTCTGTGTTAGTTGCTACCTACTGAAAGAAGTTCCTCTGATGAGGGCTGCTCTGTGGGAATAGCAATACATTATTAGGAATCATTTTATTTACAAGTTCCTTTAGCAGAATGCTAGCAGTAGGTTTTTCCCTAGGCCCTTGAGTTATGTAGAATAATAGTAGGATTTTCCTTAGGCCCAATGAATTATGTAGGCTCAGGCTATTGGCCGCTTAGCAATGTCAGGTGTGGGGTCCATCTCATGGAGTTACCTTAAATCCAATTTTAAAAGTGGTTGGTGTTGTGCCACTATTACGCCCGTGTAGGTCCCAGGGTCTGTAGCTAGGTGATACTGATGGTTATCTTTCTAATCTAGTAGCATGCAGAATGTCATCCACAGCCGTGAATGCTATCTAAGGGGCGGTGTGTGTGTGTGTGTGTGTGTGTGTGTGTGTGTGTGTGTGTGTGTGAATCTTCAAGTTTGGCACCAGCTCAACTCCATTTTCAATGACACAAACAAGTGTGGTTTTCAGCAATAGAGTCTTGCTGGCAGGTTGTGGGGGACAACTAACGGCTTTGACACTAGCCTGTGATGTTAGGGTTTTTCCATGGGTCCTTTTGGCCCAACAAGATGTAAGCCATTCCTGGAACCAGAAGTTTTACTTGGTAGTATAACATGTCTAGTTGGGGCATTGGCTCCCCTATTGTCTGGTGAGTCCATTTAGATTCCTTTCATATGTGTGTATATTGTAGGAAGGTTTTCATGTGGCCTTTCAAATGAGCTTTAGTGTTAGTTGTCCCTTTCTATATTCCCTCCTTTATATTGCCTTCCCTTCCCTTTCCCCATTTAAAACGAAAAAAAAAAATTTTTGATGGGCTAAAAAAAAAATCCATGGATGAATTTTAAGGATAAACTAAGCAAAATAGGCCTGTTATAAAAGTATAAAATAACATGATTTTTCTCTTTCTTTCTCTCCTTCCCTCCCTATCTCTCTCTCTCTCTCTCTCTCATACACACACACACACACACACACACACACACACACACACACACACAGTATAGCTCCTGAAACAGTGAAAACCATGGAGACAGAAACATACGTCGCTACAGCAGAGGGCCTAGTGTTTTGGACACATCAGGAAGGTGGAGCACCTGCTGGGGAAACCTTCAGCTTCTAAAACAGGCTGTGTAGACCTGGGCCGGGAGGGCTGGCATGGACTGTGAGCATGGGGCTGCCTGAGTTTGTTGGGCTTCATGTCACAGAGCCCTGGATATTGGACGCAGAGCTACAGGGTTTAACACTTGCTGGGCTGTATTTCCCTCTTGCTTGGTTTTGATCTCTTTTTGCCTATCTTACAGGTCTCCCTTTTGGAATGGCAATGTCTACGCTATGTTGTTGGGCACTGGAAGTAGGTGACCTCTGATTTCACAGTAGCTTATAGCTAAAACATCATCTTCAGTCTCAGAGCTTTTAGGTTTCAGAATCCTGAACCACACTAGAGCTTTGGCACCTGCTGAAATTGGATTAAATGCATTTTGCATTTATGAGATGGTGCGAGCTTTGGGAAGTCACTGTCAAAAGTTCTGGTTTGACTCTTAAATGTCCTCCACAGGTTCGTGTTTTGAATGCTTGTCTCACAGCTATTTGAGAGGCATAATTTCAGAAAGTACATCCCGGATGGCAGATGTAGGGAGCTAGGGATGGGTCTGTGAAGGTCATTAACCTGGCTTCAAGTTCCTGCTATTATCTGCTTTCTGGTCTGCTGAGATGTGATGAGCCAACAGACTCCCACCATTGTGAGCTAGGCTGTGCTTCTCCCTCCCTTGTGATTCGGAGCCAAAATAAACCACCCCTTGCTTAATCTGGCTGTCAGGGATTGTGGTCAGAGCAATGGAGAACTAATTAACACTGCGTTCGGTGAGGGCCAGAATGAAAGGCCCATGCTAGTACCAGAGAAGGCCCAGGTATTAAACCTGTCTTTAGTTCCTGCTAACACTAATAAGGAGAAAGAACTGAATACTGTTTATTTATTTTGTTACTCACCTACAAATCCTTTGCTTAACATTTTACGGTGTGGCTTACAGCCAGGTGCTATCTCAGGAACAGAAATGAGTTTAAAGTATTGTCTTCTCTTGGTTCACTTTTACAACTGCTCCCGGATGTCTGAGAGAAATGCAATTCTAGAAGCTGTGTTCTCTAACACACTTCTTTCTAAGGTCTCAATGAGTGCTATAATAGGTACTGAACAGCTCCGAACCAGATTGTCATGTATTAGAGATGGGTCTGTGAAGGAGGGTAGAAATGTGCACGAAATCAGCTGCTCGTGATACAAGTAATTGGCCGGATACACATGAACTGTTTAATGAAGTTTTTTTGCAAAGGTGTGTCAATAGCAAAAAGGCTTAACCACCGAACAACAAATCTCAAACACAAGACTGTTAAGTAATAACACTATGACTTCATATGACAGAGATCGGATCTGGCTCCAAATTTGGGTTTGTATCACAATGGATGCAGCTGTGTAATATCACAGAAGAAATCTGAAGTGTTTGGAGGAAGACTCAAGGTTCAATCTCCCTCTGACTCCTTCCCAGATGCAGGAATTCGACAGAAGTCAGAAATTTGACTTTTTTCCTTTTGTCACATGGACCTAATGATTTCTAAGAAGGACTGCAGTATTTACTTCTGAATCAATATCAGAATAACAAGGCCAGCTGGCCAGCTGGTGACCAGTGTCCTTCTACCCCACAGGCCAACACGCACAGATGTCTGTTCTCTGCCTTCCGAATGCAGAAGAACACAGTTATAAGCAGTAAAGCAAGCTAGTGTGTCTCTTGCTCTGTATTTGAGCACTGAATCTGATTGTCAACCCTTGAGACTCTTAGCATTAGCATAATCTTCCTGATGAACTCTAGTGGTTTTGCTGGACTTCTTTTGCCCTGCCGGAATAGATGAATAACTTTTCAATTCAGTTCATCAATATAACATTTCCCACTTCTTCATGTCTTTTCTTCAAAAGCAATTCTTTGTCTCACATAAATTGTCATTACTCTCTCAACCTCAAACAGCAACATCTTGTTTGTTTTGTATGTAATGAGATGGCTTTATACACAAGATGAACAGATATTTTTCAGAATCGATGGATTTTTTGACATAGAGCAGATGAATACTCATTTTCTAGTCCCTGACCACGCAAATGTCAAGCTCGCCAACACAGCTAGAGGTGGCAGCAGCAACATCAATCCATTCAATCAAATGCTTAGAAAACTGGGGACCTGTGAACTGATTTCACTTGCTTGGAGAGCAGAACATGAATCAAGAAGGAATTGCCTAGATATTTAATTTACTGCTGTTATTACTTACTTTTTTCATTTTAATTTTTTTTATTTGTTTAAACACTTTATAGCCTGATCCCAGCTCCCCCCTCCTTTCCTTCCAGTGCCACCCTTACGCTTTCTCCCCCTCCTTCTTCTGAGAGAAGGGGAGGTTTCTAAGGGTACCAACCCACCCTAGCACCCCAAGTCACAGCAAGAATAAGCACACCTTCTTCCACTGAGGCCAGAAAAAGGAGCCCATCTAGGAGAAAGGGATCCAAAGGCAGGCAACAGAGTCAAAGATAGCCTTAACTCCCATATTTAGAGGACCCACATCATGACCAAGCTTCACATCTGCTACGTGTGTGTAGGGGGCCTAGGTCCAGCACATGCCTGCTTTTTGGTGATTCAGTCTCTGTGAGCCCGCATAGGCTCAGGTTAGTTTACTCTAGTTGTTCTTATGGTGTCCTTGACACCTCTGGCTCCCTCAATCCTTCCTCCCACTTTTTCTCAAAACTCCCTCAGCTAGGCCTATTGTTTGGCTGTGGTCAACAATTAATAAATGCGACCTCGTGAAACTGAAAAGCTTCTTTAAGGCAAAGGACACTGTCAATAGGACAAAACAGCAGCCTAAAAATTGGGAAAAGATCTTCACCAACCCCACATCTAACAGAAGGCTAATATCCAAAATATATAAAGAATTCAAGAAGTTAAGCACCAACAAACCAAATTAAAAAATGGAGTACAGAGCTAAACTTAGAATTTTCAACAGAGGAAGTACTTAAAGAAATGTTCAACAACCTTAGTCATCAGAGAAATGCAAATCAGAATGACTCTGAGGTTCCATCTCACACCCTTCAGAATGGCTAAAATTAATACCCCAAGTGATACCGCATGCTGGTGAGGATGTGGAAAAAGGGGAACATACCTCCATTGTTGGTGGGAGTGCAAACTTGTTCAACCACTGTGGAAATCAATCTAGAGGTTTCTCAGAAAGTTGGGAACAGCTCTACCTCAAGATCCAGTTATACTACTCCTGGACATATACCCAAAAGATGCTCCACCATACAACAAGGACATTTGTTCAACTATGTTCATGGTAGCTTTATCCTAATAGCCAGAAACTGGAAATAGCCCAGGTGTCCCTCAACCAAAAAAAAATGGATAGAGAAATTGTGGTACATTTACACAATGGAATACTACTCAGAAATTAAAAACAAAGACATCATGTAACTTGCAGGCAAATGGATAGAACTAGAAAATATCATCCTGAGCGAGGTAGCTCAGACCAAGAAAGACACGCATGGTACGTACTCATGTACTCACTTATAAGTGAACATTAGCCATGCTATAATCCAGACTCAAAGAAGCAAAGAAAGGTTCAAGGAAGATGCTTGAATCTCACTCAGAAAAGAAAAGAAAATAAATATCTGAAGTAGATGGAGGGAGAGATTTTTTTTTTACTGTAAATGTCAGGCATCATTTCCAGCATCCACCTAAAACTTTCCAAAATTTACCTGCACCATTACAAATTGTTTCTCTTGATATAAAGAAATTTTGCAAATCAGCACTGGTGTAGCACATCTGTAATCCTGGCACTTGGGAGGCTGAGGCAGAAGGATTGCTAATTTGAGGGTAGCCTGAGCTACATAGGGAGACCCTGTCTCAGAGAGACAGAGAGACAGAAACAGGGAGAAAGGGAGAGAGAGAGAGAAAGAGAGAGAGAGACAGAGACACACAGAGGCAGAGAGAGACAAAGACTTACAAACAGAGACAGAGACAGACACAGATACACACAGAGAAAGAATTTACTTTGTAAACATAAAATATGAGTGTTCTAGCCACTGACTCTACCATATCCCTCCTTTTTTGAAGGCCTTCGTTACAAATCTCTACTCAGCAATTATTACCACCTTTCTTCCTGGTACTCAGCTATTCTTGATTGACAACAATGATACTGTTAATAATACCCTGGACCTCACTCCAAGCAACTGAAGGCATTTTAAGTTACAATAACAGTATCAGTACATCAGCCCTGCAAGCAAGGGAAGGGACCATATTTTTCTAATGAAGGAGAGATTTGGTACCATGACTTGCACAAACAAACCAATAACAACAAAAATTAGCTGAGGCAGAGCAAGCAAGGATGTTCTTGTTGGTGTTCGTCAGACATTTGCCAGATGTTCCCTTAGGGTAAGTCAGCATTTAGTGTTCAAAGGCTGGTCTCCATCGACAGTTGTCTCCATTCGGCAAGCAACGTTCATGAGATGACTCCTGTGTGTAATCTTGTTGCTAGGAGCTAAAAGAGGTTTCCTGAATTAAGGTTTGCAGGTTAGTTTTCGGCCTTTTAATTTGGAGGTAAATAGAATGAGTCAAATGCGGGTCCCTGGAACCGCAGATTCCCGGTGTCCCATTGGCCACTCCAGGAATGGCACGTGATGAAGATGTTGTTTAAAATAAGCTGCTGCAGGCCCAGGGGTGGCCACACTTCCCTGGTTTCCAGTTGTGAGTGCCTCATCTTTCCAGACAGTTTTGCACGATGATTGAGCCCTTCTTAGGAACCTGGAAACTGGTCTCCAGTGAAAACTTCGAGGATTACATGAAAGAACTGGGTGAGAAAAACACCATTATGGGGTTCAGGAATTTGTGGCAAGAGGTTTTTTTGTATTGTAGCTAGCTTTGTACCTCACAATAAATTTTTGTATGATTTTCTTTTTGTGATCCTGGGTTATACTCATTTGAAAGAAAGTTTGTAATTCCACTTATTATCCATGTTTTATTATAATCAATAACAGTTAACATTAAGAAATGCTAGGTAGGTTTGCAGCTCTCTCAGTTTATAGTCCGTATGCTACAGCCTGGGCCCCCTGGTGGAAAACCATTACTTTGGTAGAATTTCTCCTTAGCTGGGTCATTTCATTGAGCAGCTTTTGTTCAACCCCAAGTTTGTGTGAAAATATCATTGTAGTAAGTATATAGATGGAATTTATAAATCTGGGGATTTACTTTAGTTATGAATTTAGAAGCATAATAGCGACAAATAACATTCAGGACAGTGGTTCTCAATCTTCTTAATCCTGCGAAACTCTAATATAGTCATGTTGTGGTCAACCCCAAACATAATTGTTGCTACATCATAATTGTAATTTTGTTATGAATCATACTGTAAATGTTTGATATGCAGGATATCTGATATTCAGCCTCCAAGGGGTTGACCCACAGATTCAGAACCACTGATTTAGTATATTTTTCTAGAATGTTCACTCAAGCATGATAGCTTTTCAGTAGATGATTTTGAAGGCTTTCTTTTTGAGAAGAGAAATAGAATAGTCTTTCTTTACTGACGGTCTCACCATTGGCCGTCTCTCAGAAGTATGGGTTCTACCTGACATTCCTCTGTACTTCAAGCTCCATAGTTAAGCATCAGTTCTGTCTATGACAGCTATACTGTTCTATGAATTCTTGAGGAACAAGATAGTTCATTTTTTGTAACCAACAGCAACCTCTCTTACAATAATAAACCATATACAAAGCAGAATATTTCTTCAATTTTTACATTTTGCCTAGATGGATGCTTATAATTATTAATAACATATTTACTTATTCTAAGCACTGAAAGAACAATGCATTATCCTTAATAAGAAGCTAGTATAATTATAAATATGATACTTGTTCCTCTTCCACAGAGGTATTAATTTTCCAGGAAGCAATAAAGAAATTTCCCCATCTCCTCATAGATTTATAGCCAAATTTGTTTTGTATAAAAATTTGGGGGCATATCAGAAACTTGGAAATGGTTTTGGCAGTGCATACCTACAATCCAGCTGTCAAACAGGAAGACAGAGAGTTCAAGTCTAGGCTAGTGAAATAGAAAGACCTATATGAGAAAAATATATATATTGCATATAATATATATAATATACTATATATCTACAGCTGTCTCTATTTGTATATCTATGTCTATATCTATTTATACATGCATCTATTTATATTTATGCTTAAATATATATAGAGAGAGATGAGGCAAGGAATAGAAGGGAACTTGAGCTTATGACCAAATAGCACTTTTTTCTTCTTTCTTTCTTTCTTTCTTTCTTTCTTTCTTTCTTTCTTTCTTTGCTTTTCCTTTTCTATTAATTTTTAATTTATTTTTTACTTATTACATTTTATTTACTTTGTATCCCAGCTGTAGCCCTCTCCTTCACCCCCTCCCAATCCTGCCTGCCCTCCCTCTTCTCCTCCCATACCCCTCCCCCAATCCACTGATAGGGAAGGTCTTCCTCTGCTTCCCTCTGACCCTAGCCTATCAGGTCTCATCAGGACTGGCTGCATTGTCTTTCTCTGTGGCCTAGTAAGACTGCCCACCCCCTGCCCAGGGGAAGGTGATCAAAGAGCCAGCCTCTGAGTTCATGTCAGACAATCCCTGTTCCCCTTACTAGGGAACCTGCTATGAGACTGAGCTGCCATGGAGTACATCTGAGTAGGGGTTCTAGGTTATCTCCATGCATGGTCCTTGGTTGGAGTATCTGTCTCAGAAAAGACCGCTGTGCCTGGAGTTTTTGGTTTTGTTGCTCTCCTTGTAGAGCTCCTGCCCTCTCTAGGTCTTTCTCCCCCTTCTTTCACAAGATTCCCTGCACTCTGCCCAAAGTTTGGCTATGAGTCTCAGCATCGGCTTCAATACCCTGCAGGGAAGAGTCTTTCAGAGGCCCTCTGTAGTACACTCCTGTCCTGTTTCCTGTTTTCTCCCTCTTCCAATGTCCATCCTGTTTGACTTTCTGAGTGAGGATTGAGCATCTTACCCAGGGTCCTCCTTCTTGATTAGTTTCTTTGGGTATACAGACTTTAGTATGATTATCTTATATTATATGTCTAATAAGTGAGAATATACCCTGTGTGTCTTTCTACTTCTGGAATACCTCACTCAGGATGATCTTTTCTAGTTACCACCATTTGCCTGCAAATTTCATGATTTCCTTGTTTTTAATTGCTGAGTAGTATTCCATTGTTTTAATGTACCACAATTTCTGTATCCATTCCTCAGCTGAGGGACATCTGGGTTGTTTCCAGGTTCTGGTTATTACGAATAAAGCTGCTACAAACATGGTTGAGCAAATGTCCTTGTTGTATACTTGAGCATATTTTAGATATACACCTAGGAGTGGTATAGCTGGGTCTTGAGGTGGCACTATTCCTAATTGTCTGAGAAAGCACCAGATTGATTTCCAAAGTGGTTGTACAAGTTTACATTCCCACCAGCAATGGAGGAGGGTTCATCCTTCTTCACATCCTCTCCAGCATATGTTGTCATTTGAGTTTTTGATCTTAGCCATTCTGATGGGTGTAAGGTGAAATAAGTCATTTTGATTTGCATTTCCCTGATGACTAAGGACATTGAGCGTTTCTTCAAGTGTTTCTCTGCCATTTGATATTCCCCTATTGAGAATTCTCTGTTTAGCTCTGTTCCTGATTTTTTATATGGATTACTTGATTTGTTGCTATTTAACTTCTTGAGTTCTTTATATATTCTGGATATTTGCCCTATGTTAGATATTGGGTTGGTGAAGATCCTTTCCCAGTCTGTAAGTTGTAGTTTTGTTTTGATGACAATGTCCTTTACTTTACAGAAGCTTTTCAGTTTCATGAGGTTCAATTTATTGATTGTTGATCTTAGAGCCTGTGCTGTTGGTGTTTTTTTCAGGAAATTGTCTTCTGTGCCAATGAGTTCCAGGTTCTTCCCCATTTTTTTCTAACAGCTTTAGTGTGTCTGGTTTTATGTTTGATCCACTTGGAATTTACTTTTTTGCAGGGTCATAAGTATGAATCTATTTACATTTTTCTACATGTAGACATCCAGTTAGACCAGCACCATTTGTTGAAGATGCTGTCTTTTTTCCATTGTATGGTTTTTGGCATCTTTGTCAAAAATCAGGTGTCCATAGGCATGTGGGCTTATTTCTGGGTCTTCTATTCGATTCCATTGATCCACCATTCTGTTTCTATTCCAATACCATGCAGTTTTTATCACTGTGGCTCTATAGTACAGCTTGAGATCAGAGATGGAGATACCTCCAGAAGATCTTTTATTGTAGAGCATTGTTCTAGCTATTCTGGGTTTCTTGTTATTCCATATGAAGCTGAGAATTTTTTTTTCAAGATTTGTAAAAAATTGTGTTGGTAATTTGATGGTAATCAAATAATACTTGTTTTGACTAAAAGCTGGGTCAAGTGTGGAATAAGAGGGAATAGCAACTGAATTCTCCATTCTGGGACCCTTCTAAGTCCTCTCATGTACTCTTCCAATGCAAGGTGATCAAGGCTTGACTCACCCACATTTTGCTATGGAGAAAGCTGAAAAGAAGACAAGCTGTCAAGTGTCAGGGATAGAGCCCAGGCTTTGAACTCACTCTTCCTTGAGGTCCACAGATCTGTTTTCATACAGTGAGGTGCATCCCATCCATAGCTGGAATGCACAGGAAATTCAATATATATTCAGAAGAAGGAGTCCATGTTTGTCTACCTACTGTGAAAGTCCACAAGCCAAGCACCAGAACCAGCCTTTGGGCCAAGTGCTTCCTGCACTGTCTTTGCAAGTTTCCACACAGTTGAATGTAAGCATTTGATCCCCAAAAACCATCCTGCGAATGCTCGCTTCATATTAAGCACAAAAGTCTGAGAAAATGAGTTCAGCTTTTCAAGATGTCAGAATTACATAGTTGCACCTTGGAAGGACCTGGCTTATTCTAGAGACTACAGAGAATGTCAAACAAAACCCTGTGGCTGGATCTGTGAGTCAGTGCAAGCCCAGCAATCAGAGGAGAAACAGGAGGACCTTGACCTCAAGGCTAGCCTGGACTACATAATGAGACCCTGCTTGAAAAGAAAGAAAACTTTATGTCAGTCAAGATTTCAGTGTGTGTGTGTGTGTGTGTGTGTGTGTGTGTGTGTGTGTGTGTGTG